ATATGTTATATAGGTCGCGCTTGAAAGTGATCCTTCAAGTACAAAAACTGCTAGATGAACTTGATGAAACTCTGCTTCATCGGCTTTCCTGTTTTAGTCTGTATTCCAAGGAACGACCAGTGACCTTCCAAAAAAGGTCACTGGTACCGTTCAACCCAGCACCAGGGTGAAAGTATGTGAAAGTCTTACAAGTATAGGGTAACAATATGTAATATGTATTACAGACATTACCAATTTGTATGGGTACTTGGACAGTCAGTTACTCATCTCATGAGTGACAAATTTCCACAGAATCCACACATTGGTGCCTTTACTGAGTCGAGAGGATATTTGAAATCAGCAGATTGCTAGAAAGTGCTGTACATTTCAATACATTCCAGCATTTCAAGGCTTAAAATCCATTTTGTCATCACTGATTTAGATACTTACCTTCACTTCAATTGAATCACCCCCCTGATGCCTCAGCATTTTGGAACCTAAAGGTAGGGCTATGATAATCCACTATAAATGGGATAAACACACAGCACAAGCCATTCACTTAACAAATCCACACCGGGCCGATTTTCCTGGCCTCCCAATTCTTCGAGATCCAAGTCTTCATCGACAAGTTCCACGTCTGACACTGTTGCCTGTGAAGACAACATCAGGGGCTGGAAGAATCATCGCTTCCCCGAAAGGGCAATCTAAACACCCCTCAAAATCCATGGTTTAGTAGCCAATTTACAGATACAATACAAATATATCATGATATATCTGAGAACACTTGGGGAGTGTTTAATATTCCCGGGATGGGATTAGTCAGTGTGTTTCCTTGTTCTTGTTTCATGCAACTCCAATTGCTCTCTGGACATAAAACACGCATACCATCTCTGGACCTACAAAAAGAAAAACAGAGGGGATTCGCATTGAGCAAGGAATGTAGTCGTCCTGTATAAATCAACATTCACTGGTTGGTGGATGAAGCTCGTCTAAAACATGTGTTAAATGGGGTTTACAAACTCAATAAAGAAGGGGAAGTACTCACATCGTCGGTGGAACATCCATTTGTATAGGTTAAAGCCACATTTGTGTTGATTGACTCCCTATTTTCTTTGGCTCAACCCACATTTGTTGTGGGTCAAAATCCTCAAGGTTTGAGTGCTTCTCACCCAGTGAAGTCAACAGCTCAAGTTGAGAGCGAATTCTTCATATCCCCAATAAAATTCATCAACCCTTCAGCAAAATCAGAGACATCCATTGGTTGCCTAAAAAAAACAATGCAGCTATTGTTCGATGATTCGAAAACTCCAAATTTCCTCCGGAGATTTCGTCAGCCATCGATGGACAGTCCAGGCCATCCCATCCCATCCAGTCCCACCTGTGCATCGAAGATGAGATGCGAACGAGGCGTGCTTTGCTCCACCAAGGAACTCTCTGTGTAGATGAAGAAGTGGCTGTAGGCCTGGAGGGCGAAACTTGACTTGGAAACAATGGGAATCTGGCAGATCTGGCAATATATTGTAAAATCAAGAGAAGCTGGGATAGAACCAATATATACATACCCATTGATTTTGAAAGCAGGGTGCAAATCAAGAGCAGTTGGGATGCAAACAAAAGGGCTGGCATATGTCCATAACATTGTGGCAAGTCCTATATTATGGAACACGACTGCCCCATGGATAGGTTTAAGAGAAACACATCATTAAAAAAAATATTGCCAAAGTGACTCAAAAGGTAGCCTGCAGGAAGGCCACCCCTGTTGTGTCTCTTGTTTTTGGGATTGTAGCCCATCTAAGTATATGGATGTATCAATTACCCATATGCAACCCATGGTGCTGGAAATTAAAACCAACATTTGCCCGACATAGCCCAGTTTGGTAAATATACCAGCACCATGGGTTTCATTAATGGCTTAAAAAAACAACGGAAACCCCGTCAGCTGGCCGACCGTGAAAAAAATCTTCTACAGAAGCACTGCAATTGCGACCAAACAACCAGAAAATCGTTTGAGACTCTGAACAGTTTTTTTTGTCCATCGTCCACTCAAAAAAGTATTCGCAAAAACCTCGTGACTCGTGAGCGTGAATTAGATTGAATTAGTATGAAATTGCCTCATGAATTTGCTACGTCTACCTCATACCTCGTATGGGTTCCCTCGTTGTTTTTCTTGGGAGGCCGCATGATTCATGATTCATGCGTGAACACAATGGATGTTCATCCCCCAGAGGTGTAGTCTCGAAAAGGTCAAAGGTTTAGAGGGTGCTTATTTGGGTGCCATTAGGATGAAACAAATCAACATCATACCATATTAATCCATATTAATCCATATTATACCGTTATAAGTACTTCTCTAAGTCAAATATGTGAGACTAGCTACTCTAGCTATCCCCTGGACGCTGTAACTCTGGGATGCTCTGGGCATTTCTTTTAAAGGCTAAGGATCCTAAGGCAGAAACTGGCGCGTTGCAAGATCAGGTATGCCACGGCCATGGCTCTTACCCGGCTCCGTTCCTCCGAGTCGTTGTGGAGACGCGACGTCTCCGGCGGCACCCGCAAGGCGGCCTGATGGGGATACAACCAACCATAAATGGAGATGGATATAATGTGGAAAATCCAGTTTTTTTTAATCTAAAGGTGAGATGAACATTATGAACCGTCCTTAAGTGAAATGGTAGGTGTATTTTTGGGTCTACATAGTATATGTATATACATTGTATACAATTGTAGATATAAATATACATAAAAGCAAATCACCATAGTATTTTATTTGTGTTTGACAGAAATTAAGGTAAACACATGAGAAAATCCATTCCAGTGGTTTTATATGTTATAATCATTTCCAGTTTCCAGTAGCAAAATGCCAATTTTTGTAATATTATAATATACCCATCATTTTCAGAGATACCGAAAGAACATCTGTTGGCTATAAATCCATCAATATCCCGAGTAGTATCTCAGAACCAAAAAAAACATACAATGGATGGTGTATGGTTTTATAAATGTCTTATACCGTTTTATACCCCATGGAAATTTCCCCAGTTTCCACTTCGTGTAAACTAAGACAATGATGTGGAAAACCCACCAATTTATGTGGATCATGTGGATCATTTTCCTACACAAACCATGGATTTCCCATCATGTTCCTACAAACAAACGTGGATTTCCCATAATTTTCCTAAAAAAAGCGTGGATGTTCCATCATTTTCCAACAAAAATGATGTTCTATGATGTTCCTACAAAAACAATGGATTTTCCACATGCTGTGGATCCGCCCAGGTTGCTCCGGCCTCGCCCACGGAGATGTTGCCGAGCAAGCTGCGGATGGTGTAGTTGCGTAGGTCGCTGTAGGAATCCTTGGTCAACCACTCGTGAAAGATTTCATTACCCTCTGGTAAACTAACAGTTTGCTATAGATGGTCCATTTATGGTTGATTTACCGATGAAATGGGTGATTTTCCAGTTAGCTATGGGTAAGTCATAAGAGTCTTAAGTATCATGTGGACCATTTATGATGGTTCCATGAAAATTAACACTTAACCATACTAAATCAAATAATGATCCACTTGAATCATGGTTTTAGACAAGGGAACCATAATTTATGATTAAGAGACCACTAATTGTCCACTTGATGAACGGTTTTTGATTGTCATAGTATGTTGAACAATGATTACACATTAGTTACTAGTCATTATCAGTCATTGTTTAAAGCAGTGGTCCATTTGAATCATCCATGTCCTATAGAATATGCATGATGTTATGGACTAAACAATCCTTAGTTTGATGAACTGCTTAAAAAGCAACATAAAGATAGAACATGTCATCAAAGAATAACACATGTGATTATTAAAATAGTATCTAATATCATGTCTGGAGAACCAAAAACATCCACTGTGGTCAACAACAACCTGGGGCAGAATTTGATACGAATCATTACCTAGACCCTCCAAGTACTCCTTCAGAATTATGTTTTACCAATTTTACCCTATAATTTCAGTACTGTTATATTTTTTGGGATGGTATTTAGAGAGTTAGGTATATCAACCAGCAACTAGCTTTCCAGTCCGTGAATCCCAGAAACTGAATTTGGGAACCTGCAAAGCACAGCTTCAACGTTGGTCTTCTGTACATCAGCACGTGTACCCTCTGGTAAACTGACATAGCTGTGGAAGATGACAATTTTAAAAAGGCAAATGAATAGGTATATTAGCTAAATGTACTAAACATATAGATAAAGGTAAATATATAGGTAAATATGAACTATAAATGGTCCATTTTCCATAGCAAACTGTTAGTTTAGCAAAGGCAAACTGAAAATGGGGTCCCCTCCAATTCCACTATTGACATCACCCCTATTCAGATGGCCGAAGTGTATACCGTATACCTGGTTGGTGGTTTTAACCATCTTGAAACATATAAATTAGTCAATGGGAAGGATTATCCGATATATTATGGAAATAAAATAAATGTTACAAACCACCAACCAGATAATCCATCGAAAAAAACAAACATATTTTCAGACAAACCAAAAAATATGAAACCACCCTGGCTAGACTTTGTTGACCATGTATGACCATGGCACAGCACACAATTCGCTACCTCTACACTACACCGATGATTGCTGGATGGTGCTTCTCATGAAAACTCTGATTGGTTGTTCTAAGGAATTCTATTATATGGTTACTATATGGTTACTATTTGGTTGATTAGGAAGCCCTGAGTTAGAAAAAAATACGGACTAATCAATGTAATGGGATGGAACCATTGTTGCAATGTAACTGTTTTTTCCTTTTGGACATTGCATGTAATGCCACTGTCGCCGCGATTTTTTCCCACGCAATGTTGAGGTTATACACATACAACTGAATGGTGGTTTCGAGCGGCCACACGTTGCCACGCTAGGAATCAACATGATTTATAAGTTGGACATGGCTTATCATGGTTTATCAATGTTCATTAGCTATTACATAAAAGTGATGCAAGTGGTAGACTTGACACAGTCTACGGAGCCCCAAAGGGCTGAACTTTATCGTGACATATGGTGAACTGTCGAAACCACCATCCTAGATGTTCCAAAAAAAATGTTGCTTCATTTCATTTCATTTCATTTTAAACAATTCATTCATATAGATCCTGTCGACCAGCGCCAATACTTGGAAGATGATGCTGATGAACCATCTTCAGTGTGACTTTGCACATTCTGCAGCCCTGTCTTGGGGATCATCACCTCGGATGGACAGCAACCGACACTTTTCACCATGGTCGACATGAAATGGAAATCACCATTCTTATAGAATGATATAGATCTACAAATGTGCCATATGTTCATCCATTCATCCATGTTCCATAGCTATGCCTAACTTTACTGGAGGGTATATGGAGGGTTACTGGAGGTTTCCTAAAATATGGGTACCCCTAAATCATTTAAATCATCCGTTTTAGATTGGGATTTTCCATGATAAACCATCCAGCTATGGGGGTACCCCCATTTTTGATATTGGCAAATTGTGCCAGAACTTACTCAAGACCCAAGACCCTAGGATCGATTTTGCACAGCAAATCAGCAGATGTTTTTCTACCGCACCATCTCTGGTTGGTGGTTGACCTACCCCTCTGAAAAATATGAGCTCGTCAGTTGGGATGATTATAATGATTATTCCCAATATATGGAAAAATGTTCCAAACCACCAACCAGATATATTGTTATATTGTTATTCCAACTATTAACAATTATTAACCATAGATTACCCAGGAAAATTCCATAACCACCAACCAGATCTATTTTTTTTCAGAACCCAAGAACTCGAGAACTCCGGAGACTTGCTCCAGGACTCCAGCAACTCAGCCAAATGTCCATAAATTTCCATCCGAAACTTGGTGATCAGAAACTCTAGCCATATATAGGAGACCCCTCCATTTATCCATAGTTTTCCATAGTTTTTCCATAGTTTTCCATAGTTTTCCATTGTTTTCCATACTTTTCCATAGTTTTTCCATGGTTTTCCATGGTTTTTCCATTGTTTTCCATAATTTTCCATTGTTTTTCCATAGTTTTCCCATCCATTTCGCCCCCACAAAATCATCGCCACCGAGGCGCTCCCATGCTTCCCACCCGGTCCCAGTGGTCCATCTCCAGGTTCATCGGATGCATCAAGCGAAAGCGCAAGGCCAGCTGCTGCCAGTCCTGGGCCGCGCGGTACCACGGCGGAGGGGTCCGACGGGTCTGAGAAGGACCAACTTTTTAGCCGCTTTTTTCATGAGGAAAAAAGATGGGACAGTTGCAGGATGGTGCCCCCCAGTTATAAGTTGGTTTATAAACCCCATTAACTATAGTTATATCTGCCATAAACCATAGTTATTGGAGTTATTTGCACCAACTTAGCGATTCCGAACTGGGGCACCACCTTGTGAAATATCATGAAATATCATGAAATATGGGAGGAGTAAGTGATGATAAGTCTCTGATAAGTCCCAAAGTGATGGCCATGTTTCAGCTCTTTTAACAGGGCAAAATCATGGAAGATTGAAGATGATGATGTTTGGCAGTGGCTTTAGGCCTAGATTCTGGCCCAAAAAAAGGTTTGACCCATCCCACAGGTAAGTATTTCTATTGAACAATGGTTGGCTCATAACAAGTAAGTATTCCTCTGGGTTCTTTTAACACCAATGTAATTTAATTACCCATGTATACCCGTATACCCATGCATACCCCCTAATCATGGTCAACCAACGTTGGGCTGAATGCCTTAACTACTGCTGAGCATCGGCTTGGAATTTGGAAGCGTTCACGTCTCCAAACACGGTACGTGTATTGATCTGCACCAAGCGGTCTTGGTTGTGCAGGAGCCAGGTCTCTGACAACAGGATGCAGTTGTGAGTTGTCGATGAATTCTATCGCAGGGTCTTGCTGCAAAGGAATGCTACAGGCCAAACATTGTCGATTCTACATGAGTCTACGATAGTATACTATCCGATAGAACATCATTTAATTATATAAAGAGAATTGCTGCAAAGTTCACCCTTCAACCAAGTAGCCTCTCTGAATTTGAAAACAAATGAATGATCCCTCGGTCTGTGCACAACATTTCCCAGAGTGACTTTGATGGTTGGTGGTTGACCTACCCCTCTGAAAAATATTAGTCAAGTCAGTTGGGATGATGACATTCCCAATATATGGAAAAATAAAAAATGTTCCAAACCACCAACCACATGTACAGTAGTTCTTAAAATTCAACTGGGTAATCATCAACACCCATTCGATAAATTTGCGATAGGGGATTAAACCAAGCATCATCAACATAATATGTTTGGCTCAGATGTAATGGGAAGATCACCAACAATATGGGGATATGTGGCTTTGCCCGAAATGTGATCCCTTTGTATCAGTTGGTTGATAGGAATCCCCATACTAGGTCCGCCAATAATACCCAAAACGGTACAATATCACTCCCATAGGTTTAAAACTCTCAATGAATGGATCGTTCCCACAGTTTATAACCTCAATCCTAACTCATCATGAGTTGGTGATGTTCGAAGCTGGTTCAATGAATCCATCATATATTTATGTGTATACAGATAGATGGATACACAATCATCTAACTCATCATAATAGTTGGATTGTGATAATCGTTACCTCTCTGACTCTCCATGAAATAATGCTGTGAGAATCTTACCAGCAAACTCTGAGGGTTATTGAATATGTATTTCTGTAATGTTTTTCCAATTTGGTTGTGTCATGTTGTTGTCATTCCTGTTTTGTGATGTAATGTTTTATCATTTTGTTGTCATGATTTTGTCATTTGTGTTGTCATTTTGATGTCACGTGTTTGCAACTTTGTTGCTTTTAGTCAAATCCAAAATGACAAGCCTGAATGATTAAAAATAAAACAATGACAGCAACATTACAAAATAAGTATTTCGATTTTTCCAGTGTTTGCAGTGTTTGCAGCCCACGTTGTTCCTAAAAAATGATTCATCTACGAAGAATAGAGCATCATGATAATATTCATAGTTGTTGATCATTAAACTAATTGGATTATCAACCCCTCTATATCTCAACTTTACCTCACAAAAGCAATGGTCGAAGCATGGTAAGTCCAAACAAAAACAAGCTCTGCTCAAATCTAAGCAGATTTCATGGTCTCAGATATGTGAGGTCCTTAGTCACTTAGTCTGACAAGTCAGACATGTCACGTGTTGGGTATACATCACTATCATTGGTTCTATCCCAATCACTCCCGTAAAGCCACTTCAAATCTTGTTGCAACCTCAACAATTCAACATTCCCCAAAGACTAACAGAAACAGGGCCTGCCCAGAAATGCCGTGTACCCCACAGAGTTGCCATCTTAATGGGGACATGTGAAACAAAACACGATAAAACATGTCCGCTGCAACCTGGACGTTTGCCCGGAGTTGATGTCCCGCAATCAACGTATTGTTCAGAGGGGGTGGCTAATTTTGATCCTTTATGAAGATAAAGTTGATGTTATTTCCCCAATTGTTCTGAGGAGGTGGCAAATTTTGATCCCTCATGAAGATAAAGTTGATGTTGTTAGCCCGTTCAGCATATTGGTCATACGGGGTGGCGGATTTTGTTCCCTCATGAAGATAATGTTGACGTAATTACCCGATTCAACATATTGGCCATAGAGGGTGGGGTGTGGTTAGCCCGTGCAGCATATTGGTCATAGGGGGTGGCGGATTTTGATCCATCATGATGATCAGGTGATATTGTGTCCTCATGAAGATAACTGTATTCAAGGTATCTTTCACATGCCACCGTGGCCTAATTTTCCCCCTTGGCCTTGCTTGGATTCGCAACTTCCCAGCAACATAGAATTGTCTCTGTTATGTCACAATGATGAGTCTGGGCGAACGTTAAGGTTGCGGACAACATGTCTTTTCCCACAACTCTCCCCATGTGTTAGGAGTTTCAAAGAATTGTCGCTTGTGTTTCCTCAATTTTTGGTAGAAACCCAACTGCCGCAAAAAGCATAGCCCAAGAAACTCTGAATCACGGGCAAATAAGTCGCTCCAGCAGTCTTCCCCGGAAGGATTTCGGCGGACTCATTGTAGAAATACCATGGAGCTCGAGTTTCAAAGTCAAATGGAACTGCACCAGGTGGATAGGTGTCCTTGGTCGATTAAGGGGAAAGAACATCATCTTTCTTACACATGGTTCCCTTCCTACCAAGGTCACAGATACCTCGAACATCTCACGACACGACTTCCATTTAAGTGGAATCCTGAGGATTCACCTGGGCACCTCGATTTACCCTCTAGTAAACTAACAGTTTGTTATGGAAAGATCCACCATCCTATTAATATTGGGAAAATCAACTATTTCTATGGGACATCTATACCATAGCAAACTGTTGAATTCACCATTTTATAGTTGGGAGAATCAACTATTTCTATGGGACATCTATACCGTAGCAAACTGTTGAATTCACCATTTTATAGTTGGGAAAATCAACTATTTCTATGGGACATCTATACCATAGCAAACTGTTGAATTCACCATTTTATAGTTGGGAAAATCAACTATTTCTATGGGACATCTATACCATAGCAAACTGTTGAATTACCAGAGGGTAACATGATTTAACTATTTCTTCAACTATTTCTTCTCCAAATCGTGTGGTTCAATGTGGCCCACAAACTACGCTATAGGTTTTTTGACGTCAACTGTATTCTAAAATATTCTAAGTATTGTTTTTCAAGTTCAATTCCTGGGATGCCCGGGGAAGCCAACATTTCAATTCCATATTCTATGTGGGTGGAGGACCTTATATATATATGTGTGTGTGTGTTGTAATGTCTTGGGATGTTCTAAGTGTGGGGGTCTCCACAGCTAGTTGATAACTTTTGTGTGCATATAAATATAGTTATATATAGTTGTGTCAATAGATCATCATGGGATGTTCTAAGTGTGGGGGTCTCCACAGCTAATTGATAACTTTTGTGCACATATAATTTTAGTATATTTTAGTTATGTCAATAGATCATCATGGGATGTTCTAAATGATCGATTTTCCTAGTTCTAACTGTGAGGGTTCACGGCTGTTCCAAACATAGAAATAGACATTAAAAAAAAAACAAAGCGTTTTCCAAATGACGTTCTAAGTGAGTGTCCGTCACTATAATGTGTTTCCCAATGTTTTGCAAATGAATTCGAACACAATTGTAGAGCTGGATATAGTATTAATGAGGTAAACTACATAATACATAATAATCACCGTTCCCACTTGGGGTTTGTAATGACCACCAAACTGGTGTATCAACAAGTGAGCCATGAAACATACCCCTAACTCATCCCTTCTGAAATACTGCTCCATAGCTATCCCAGAACATATGGATTAACATCATCCCCACAACAAACAACATACAATCATCCTAAATTTAATATCTCCAATTATCAATTCAACGCTTAAACAACAGCATTTTTAGCAACCTGCCCTGCAGCTCTATTTTTATAGAAGCCACTTCGCCATCCAGCCATCAACCGGTCCAAACATGTCCCATCAACGGATGTGCCAAATCTCGATGGTCTGTTCCCTGTTCTCCTGGCGAGCCTGCTCCGAGGACGTGAAATCATCCCCGAGGAAGTGCACCACCTGCAGCACTGACGCAGGTAGATGTTGTCGAAAAAAAACACCAGGAATATTAGGTTAGTAATAGCGATGTCATAAACCACTTAGGTTGATATGGTTTCTAGAAAAAAAATCTAGAACTCAGAAAAATGATAACATTGGGGGATGGTTTACTATTGTTTTGCTGACATTAACTACATGCCATCAAGCACATATATGCAATATGTTTTTGTTCTTTAATGACCAGATTTTGATACCACCTACGAGTACCAGTTTCATGTTACTCATTTCGACACCAGTTGCAGTCAATCCACGCGTTCTTGATTAAACCCCCAACAATGTATTATCAATTTGGATTAACTGGGTAGATATCGCATTTTTTGTCTGTCATCTCCCGATTTCTATTTCTGAAAAAAACTAACGGCAAACGGTAGCTTTTCTATCTTGGCTGGTCGAATCCAGGTGTTCGCTCTTCGATTCAATTCCCAATTGATTCTTCGCAACATGTCCAGCCATATTGGTCGCATATGGTCAAATCCATATATGTATATATATATAAATAAATAACATCTTCAATGTTGAAAATCCACCACCATCCACCACCCATGATCATCCATATCAGATCTTAACGAAACGAAACAGGTTTTCCCGGCCCCTAGCCTTGATAAACCAACTTGACGAATCTTTCCGTGGCCAGTACCGTGGTCATCATTCAATATTTTTAATTTTTAAAACCAGTTCTTTAGATGGTCCTTGTGACGACAATAATCACATCCAGTTTTAAATTACTTTCACATGTATAAAAATTCACTAACCTGACAACTTCGGTTATTTTGGGAAAGCCACCTATTGCTAGCCTACATTCCAGTGATGGCCGGCAAACTCCCATCATGTCTGGGATATGTTGGTAATCTTTCAACAAGATTTCCCCAATCCAACTGGGCGCCTCTGAAAACGAACATCGGGATACTGATGTTTAACCAAGATATTTAGGGGTTTTGCTCCAAATTTGCGGGGTCATAAATCACCCATTAAATTTCGTTCGAATTGCCAAATCACCTACGATTTATTAGTGCATATTGATGACCCATATATACAATTCCAAAGCCAATTACCATGGTTTGCTATTACATTCCCCACATATCCCCATGAACAAACATTAATGAATATTCCTCTAATATTCAAAATATTAGAGGATCCTAACATTCTGAATAATCACACACAATAAGTAATAACTATCCATATAACTATGCAACAATATGCCACTATGATACATTGATGGATAGTTATGACCATAATTGGCACATTATGGATAGTTATAGTTATATATATATATATATATTGGATATTATTTCCATATTGATCAAATGTTGGCTATTATGAACATATTTTTACCATATATTAGTTATATTGGATATTATGTTCTATCCATATGGTACAAAAAAAAAAACATGATCTCTATGACCCCATTGGGATCCCGTGGGAATCCATGGCGCCTGAGGTGGCTGCAACCTCTCCGGGTCACTGCAGCCATTGCGCAAGGCTTCCTCCGCCTTGCTGAAGGCCTGGGACTTGGGTGCGACGACTGACACTGAACCAAGAACAAATGGTGACTTAAGCAACAAACAATGGGGATATATATATATATATACATATTATGTTATATATAATGTCAACCCTGGATTAATAAACCCCTAGGTTGTTTAGTTGGTGGGATCCCATTTAAGTATCATATTGTGACTATTTGGAGGGTACCCCACAATTAATAAGCCATGGTTTATTAATCCGGAGTTGGCATTAATGGGGATATAGCCAACAGAAATGGAGATATCATGGATATAAGTTGGGATCAATGATGGTTTTAGGGGTTTTGATGGTGATTTTATGCTGGGATTCAATGGAAATGTCATGGGGTAAATGAGCTTGATAAGAGAAAGAACGGTGGTTCCAGAAACAGGACGATTTCAGGCTTAACCAAGACATATTCCTTCAAACAATGGGCAAAAAAAGGGCTTTAACAAAGGTGGTACTTCAAACAGCAAACCCGGTGCCGCCTTTGGTGGCTGAATCAAATCCTGTGGTGAATTCAATGTATCCCAATTTTTTTTTCCCCACCTGCCAGGTGAGGGTTGTTAGATTTTATCAGAGCTGTTCTCCTCCGCCTCCTCCTCTTGCTCCTCCTCCAGTTTCTCCTCGACCATGCCTGCATCAACTTCCACGTCCACTTCCGCCTTGCCAACTCGTCGCCAATCTCTTCGCCAACTTCTGCGCGCAGTGGGCACCGCTGGACCTCAACCTGGGACCCTCTGAGCTCAGTGGGCACTGCTGGACCTCAACGGCCAAATTGAATGCCAGAATATATGCCAGATAGAACGCCAGATAGAATGTCAGATAGAATGTCAGAAGATATGCCAGATAGAATGTCAGAAGGTATGCCAGATAGAATGTCAGATAGAATGCGAGAAGGTATGCCAGATAAAGTGCCAGAATGTTTGCCAGATGAACGCCAGAAGATTTGCCAGATAGAATGCCAGAAGGTATGCCAGATAAAGTGCCAGAATGTTTGCCAGAACATGTGCCAGAAGATTTGCCAGATAGAATGTCAGAAGATATGCCAGAAGATATGCTAGATAGAGTGCCAGAAGATATGCCAGAACATATTGCAGAAGATGTGCCAGGTAGAATGCCAGAAGATATGCCCGATAGAATGCCAGAAGATATGCCAGATAAAATGCCAGAAGATATGTCAGATAGAATGCCAGAAGATTTGCCAGTAACAAAACGTATAGATGTCATGGTGGGGATAACTCGAAGTAAAGTAATTGTACTGTCACTTCATAATAGCTGCTGGCTTGATAGTTGCTGTCCATTCCAATCTCATCTTCATCAAGCTAACACTCAACCTAGTTCATTGAGTCCCACGCTTAGTTTGCATCACATTTTTTTGGCGGGCAAAATCCCCAAGTTTGGCTTGTGAAATCCCAATTTTGTGGACGGTTCAGTCGGTTCAGTCAGACATGTTCCACATAGTTTGGTTTCTATGAATTTCATATGGTCCACCTTGTGATTTTGGCTGGTTCATATATATATATATATACGGTATATATATATATATATGTATTACTATCACTATTATGATATCATTATTACTATTAATATGATATATATATATCTCTCTCTGCTGGATAAATTATGGTAATTCACCAGGCTAAAAAGTTGAGCCATCTAAGAGATAGTTACCCAGTACTAACCATCAGTCCAGTGACAAAACCTGGTCAAAACCTATTGAAACACACCGCTCCAAAGACAATCCGGAGAATTCCATCGAAAATCTGTTCGCTCCAAAAATCCCCATGGTTTTTCCATCGATTTTCCATAGATCTTCCACTCGAAATTCCGATTTCGACCGGAAAATCCCATGGGTTCCAGCCAAAAAGGCTGGTCCCTTGGCTCGTCACGACACCTGGGGTAGATCCAATGCTGCCGTCACGGCCTGCGCACTGTACACCAGGACCTCGGTGGGCCCATGGTTTTGAGGTGGTGAACGTTGCTTGGATCACTTAGAAATTTCATGGTTTTTGACGCCAACAACTCATGTTTACTATATATATATAATTATAATTATATATATATGTTTTTTAACCTACCTATATATGTATGTATATGTGTATATATTGAACATTATTCAACTAGTTAATGAATCGTAATGGTGGTTGTTAACCAACTTGTAGCTGGCGCACGACCTTGTATAAGCTACAGAAATGCGGAGCATAGGGATATGGACCTGGATGGGCATGACCTGTAAACATACATATATCCCAGTTCAATGAAATTCGCGAAACTGGAGAGAAGAGGCAGAAGTGATGATGAGTCCCACACGCTCCATGGACTCTCTATCTATATCTATATCTGTATATCTATATCTATATATCTATCTCTCTATCTATATACTGTATCATTATCTATCTATATATCTATCTAATCTAATCTACTCTACTCTACTCTACTCGACTCGACTCTATCTATCTATATATGTATATTTATAGATCAACAGTTGCCTCAAAAATCACATACCATGGCATCTGATTTTCACACTTCGTCCGAGACACGTTGGCCGTAAGAGCCAACATGGCAGTATCCTGGTTGATGAAACCAGAAATGTCCGTGTAGTGTTCATAACCTCAAGCAATGGCTGGGCTGGGACACGGAAAATGGGAAATGGATGGGTCGGGAAATGATGGGAAACACGGGAAATTCTTCCCCGGAGACCATGAAGAAATTGTTGTTGTTTGCCAGCACTTCGTACTTGGTGTTTTGATGGCTTTCGCTTCCAATTTCCCATCATTCAAGTTTGTGAAGATAGCATCTGGGCTCATCAAACCGCTAGTTGCGCGATGCCCTGGAAGTGGACACTTCACCATTTCACGATCACTATGGATCCCAAGCCGCCCAAATAGGCGTAGATCTGGTCCAAGAGAGAATCTTCACCGGAAACTATGGCGTTTACCCAAAAAACCTGAGGGGTCCTGAAAAAACATATTACCCTCTGGTAAACAGCCACATAGCTATGGGAAAATCACCATTTTTAATGGGAAAACCCACTATAAATCACCATTTTCCATAGCTTTTTCTATGTTTACCAGGCCGGCTATCCCATTGAATTCTGGCATCCCATCCTATCCAGCTGGCGATGGGTCAAGTTTTGCCACACCGTGAGATTCAACGTGAAGTCATTGCTGCCCAAGCCATCCAAGTGGTCCTTGGAATGGTGAGGTCATCATGAAAAATGACTGTTTGAGAAAACGTGTCCATCGAAGCATCTTGAAAAAGAAACCCTCCAGTAAATTAACATAGACCATGGCAGATAGGGGTTGGAAGATTATTCGTTTCCACTAGACAGTTATTATTTTCTGGGTCTATATTGATTTATCAAAGGGTAATGTTGGGGATAGACAATCGATTATCATCGCATTCGGTTGTTTTCCCTTATAAAACGTCTGAATTGTCGTAACTTACAACCAACATGTCCATCGTTTCAGTCGTTCTTTCCGTTTCGCATGTCCTCAGTCATTGGGATTTCTTAAAGTAATCTAGCCCCAAATTCAGTGGTTGATTATACCATTTTCCCCCTGATATTGCCATTTTAGAGGGAATATCCCTATTTTCATTGGATCAAAATCTACAGGACAAAAACCATATTTGCTGGGAAAAACCCATGGTTTCCGGTGAAGATCTTCCCTTAAACCAACCCATTGATATTTGGAAACACACCCCAAAAAATGGGATTTCACCCTATGAACATCCCAAAGAAACAGCACCAAGCGTCAGTGATGTCGATGTAAATGCCAGGCTCAACACTGCCGGGGCACCAGCCTGGGAGTCCACCCCCATTGGTGGTTAAAGGTGGTCAAAAAAAAACGATGTATTGGGTGTCCATGTAGTTGGCTTCACAAAAAGAGAAAAGATCAGACCTTCCCAATACCAGACTTATTGTTTTTTACATATGTATATATATATATATATATATACGTATATTTCATTACATATATTATTGAAGGATTATCCCATATATGTTTGCAAAATTTTCAAAAGCTTGGAACCACCAACCAGATATAACCAGATAATATGTGGTATATGTGGATTGTTAACCCCTTAGCTGGAACAGAGCCCCTTATGGGTCAGTGTTTCACACGACTCGCCAGGTCGCCGTTTCGGCTCTCGTACCAGGTGCCATGCTGGGCGAAGCCACCAGGGTTCAAGTAGCAGTCATCACGCCACTCCTGGGACGGCGTAGATTCTGGGTACAGCCATTTAAATGGCATTATTAGTGGCTATTCATGGATATTATATATATATATATATTAGTAGTAGTAGTATTATTATTACTATTATTATTATTACTACTATTATTATTAATATTATTATCATTATATATGGGGAATGGAATATCAAACCATGGTTTTTTAGTAATTACTACATGGGAATTTCTTAAGTCATGCGAATCCCCCAGTCACCATTGGTGTAGTGACTGGATGATTTTGGGGGTCCCCGCATGGAAACCGCCATTTTTTTGGTCGGTATACCTACACAGTGATTGGTGACCCTCCAAGCATCCATAAAAAAATGGGTCAAAGTACTAAACATATGGGGTAAACTGTACATAGAGAGGATCATGAAATGTGGCAAAGGATGAGTTGGAGGTTGCATTGGTTGTAGGGAACATAATCAGAAACCAATCTGAAAGTGAAACGAATATGGTGATGGAAGGACAAGTCAAAAAAAAACATCTTTGGAGTTTGGAGCCAAACATGCGGGTTTCCTGGGAAGTTTCCAATCCTGTCCCTTCAAATCTAGTCATCCAACCTGGCTATGAACAAGATTGATGGCAATAGGATGAGGTTCGGAATGAAAAATCCCAACGCATCTGCGATCGGCCTACTTGTTGGAGGCCTACTTGTTGGGTGGATGTCCAATTTGATGACCAAAATCATAAAGAGGGCCCCCATGCTCAAAGAACCCCCATGCCAGGCGTCCGTAACATTGGCAAAGTTGTTACCGTTGAGGTGAAGGTGATATACCGCATGACAGTACCTGAGCGGCCAAAACAGGTGCTGGTTTATGGCAATCTGGTTCTGTGGGGCTAAAATGTGTCCCGCCGCTGTTGGTTTGATAAATACCCTAATAACATTTAATAACCATGTTGATGTTGCTAAAAAGGACAGTATGTGTTGGTCAAATCACAATTTTGCTTGGTCAGATCTATCTCGGTGGGGGATGATATTGATAAAATCCCCCCTGTTCTCCTAATGTAAATCACCATGTCTGCTGGTTGAATGCTGTGTTTGGCTGTTTGATTTCTTGTCTTGTTTGTCAAATGCCAATCTATGTTTCTTAAACTCATGTTTTGGAGTAAGCCGTGCTATATTCTGTGCTTAAATCCATTTTGTTGGTCAAAACCAGATTCTTGGTTGTGCAATCCGTTTCTTTCGCCGTGAATTCATACTTGTTTCTAGAGTTTTTTTTTCCCAATGTTATGGTGCAACCATTTCCAACCTTGGATATCTTGCAAAAACACTTTGCAAATAATGACCATGTACCAAACTACACATCAAGTTGGTTGAGGTTGGCCCACTTGATTATCATCTCCAATCCCAATTTGATTCTAACTAAATTGTGTATGGTTCATTGGAAATCCCATCTAGGCCAAACATAGGTGGTTGGCTCGTTTGTATATCAACAGAATTCAACAGATCAGTTCAATTAAAGTAACCCCCAAAGAGATAGAAAAGTACGACTAAAATAGTAATCAAACATATTCAATAATGAAATATACCCTCTGGTTATTTAACATAGCCATGGAAAATGATGGCCATGTTTTTGTTTGCTAAAACATCCAACAAAACATCTATTTGTATCTATGGGCCATTTATACCATGGCTATTCGGCATAAAATCCGGTGGACCAGGAGCCATAAAACCTTCATCCCAACAATACGTGTCGGTGGAGCCATTGTGATTTATAGATGGCTTATGGATTAAAAAAAAAGTCCTAACCACTTATGATACGATTTGGCTTTATTTACATTATATGGGTATTATATGAATATTCTGTATGGATGTTATGGGTTTTAGTGAATGATTAATGGATGATTAATGGATGAGTTTACTAGAGGGTAATGGATGATTTACCCTCCAGTCAATCAACATAGATCCTGCAATTTATTGGGGTGAGAAGATTAGTTTCCACTAAACAGGGGTACACTTCTCAGGGTCGAACTCTTAAATTGCCATAATATATATATATATATATATCTAATACACATATATATATAATACATATATATATATATATAATATATATATAATTATATAATATATATATATATATGGTACCCCCCCCCTGATACCCACCTCCAATTGATTCAAGAAGTAGGTTTTTAATGATCTACTGTATATGTATGTAAAAAATGTATGTATATATATATATAAATAAATGTATGTATATATATATATGTATACATATATATATACACTTGCACGTCACTTGGTACTATGTGGTTAAATAATTTGGGTACTTAGGCAAATTGCACACAGAGAAAAATTGCAATTTTTGCAATTTCCAGACCCCAAATTCAAAGATTCAAAGATTCAAAGATTCAAAGGTTGAAAAGAAGTTCTTTGAATCGAAGCCCCCAAAATTCAAAGATTCAAAGATTCAAAGGTTGAAAAGAAGTTCTTTGAATCGAAGCCCCAGACCCCAGATTCAAAGATTCAAAGATTCAAAGGTTGAAAAGAAGTTCTTTGAATCGAAGCCCCAAAACCCAAATTCAAAGATTCAAAGATTCAAAGGTTGAAAAGAAGTTCTTTGAATCTTTCACTTGGGGTTTGGGGCTTCGATTCAAAGAACTTCTTTTCAACCTTTGAATCTTTGAATCTTTGAATTTTGGGGTTTTGGGGCTTCGATTCAAAGAACTTCTTTTCAACCTTTGAATCTTTGAATCTTTGAATCTTTGAATTTTGGGGGCTTCGATTCAAAGAACTTCTTTTCAACCTTTGAATCTTTGAATCTTTGAATCTTTGAATTTTGGGGGCTTCGATTCAAAGAACTTCTTTTCAACCTTTGAATCTTTGAATCTTTGAATTTGGGGTCTGGAAATTGCAAAAAATTGCAATTTTTGTCTGCGTGCAATTTGCCTAAGTACCTCAAGGTGCAAACTTATCTGTCAAAAAACTCACACAAACAAGTTGCTCAGGCAAACTGCTCCAAAGCCATCTACAAACCACCGCAGAGGCGCCTGGGATTTGGTGGTGTCAAACCTGGTCAGTACCTCAAGGTGCAAACTTATCTGTCAAAAAACTCACACAAACAAGTTGCTCAGGCAAACTGCTCCAAAGCCATCTACAAACCACAGCAGAGGCGCCTGGGATTTGGTGGTGTCAAACCTGGTCTGAGAAACAGTTACTCTAATCAGACACTTTCAGTTCAGCACATCACTGTTCATCTCTGCAGCCGCCTATCTCATCCGAAAAAAGTCTCTGACTAGAAAAAGGTCACAAACATGCAATTTCCAATCGAGGGCAGCGTCTCTTTGAGCAATGGCTCAGCCACATTGCGCTTGAAACCTGCAAGCGTGGAGGTGGTCTACGTTCAGGCTCCTCGCCCGACCGTTGAGGATGTTCAGCTCTGGGATGTTCACTCGTCACGACTCCCTATGAACAAAAAGGTCTTGGCTTCAGCAATGGTTTGTGTCCAGAAACAGTTGGGCATCCCCACCGGCATCAGTGGAGTATGGACCCAAGATGCCACACGCAGGCTGCAGACCAACCTCGCCAAACCAAAGAAGGCAGCCCAAGCACATCCCTCATCACCTCCTCAGCTGGCACTCGAGGACATGAAGCATCTTCCTCCTCAGCCCAAGCGCAAGCGTTCTTCGTCGTCATCTTCCTCATCATCATCGTCCTCGTCATCTTCTTCGAAGGCGTCCGCGGCGTCCTCTACAGCATCGAAGTCATCCAAGGCATCCTCCAGAGCATCTAAGGCATCGAAGTCATCCAAGGCACCCTCCAGAGCATCTAAGGCATCAAAGTCATCCAATGTATCTGCCAAGTCTTCTGGAACCACCACCGAAAAGCTTCTTGCACAGATCACCCGCCTTCAAGCCGAAAATTTGGAGTTCTCCGATGCCATTGCCTGCCACCAGGAAATCGAGGAAGAGATTATGCGTGTGAAAGCCGAGCGAGACAAGTTGGCCAAGGAGAATGCGAAGCTGAAGGGCGAGATCGCTGCCTTGAAGATTCGCATTGGACTCTAGATAGCGGCTGTGCGGTGAACAAAAGGAATCTTATTGCAGCGTGACAATAGTATTGTTAGTTGGGGTTAGGGTGACATGATGCAGGTATGCTGTCTTTAAAGGAAGGGTATACAGGGAAAGTAAGATAGTGCATAGCTCCAACCTAGCTGTATATCCAAAACCGCAACGTAAACAACAAAAACAAAACATTGCGCTTGTCTGCTGCACATTGGTTCCTTCTGCTTGCCTCACATCTGCTTTCTTGTGTGACATTTGGCTCAGCCTGGCCTTCTAGCCCTGTCCCGCAATCGTTGCTCTCAAATCTGACGAAAATGTCCGGCGCTTTGATGGACAAGGCCATTGCAGACCTGGCTGGCAAACAGATGCTTCTACGTCTCTTAGAGAAGCCAGACCACAGTCCCATTGATTGTGAGACACCCTTGGCCATGGACAAGTTCATTGCGGAGGCTTGCCGGGAATGTGTCAAGGTCCAGCCCTTTAGGCTCGTCTTTGATGTCCATTTGTCCATGGAAGCCTGTGGAGACCCTGCTGAAACTTCCAAGAAGCTCTCCGAGTCAGATGTGGAAGGCCTTCCAGCAGCCATCAAATTCAAAGCCCCTCTTCCTGAAGGATCCAAGGTTGATTTCATCCATGTCAGCAAGGACGATGGTAAGGTTGACGTCCTGAAGGTGATCTACACGTCCCGTCCGATCTCTTCCCAACTAGCCAGTTCTTTCTGCAGTGGCAAAATGCACTTACCTGTCCATCGAGCAGGCCCATGGAAAGTGAAGAAAGCCACCCAATGGCTTCTAGGTCAACTTGGTGGTTATCAGCTCCGCTGGCATGTCTTAGAAGAGAAGACTGCAGACAGTGCTCCACCAAAACCTTCATGGTCCCCATCAAATGCTGAACTTGAGGAAGGCGTTCTGTTCATCAACGCGCATGCACCAGAGTGTGACGCACAAAATGAGCAGACCCTGTGGATCCTCATAAACATCAAGTCCGACTCCGGCACGCCAATTGCCAGCTGGCCCGAGCCAAAGGTTCGGCTCATGTGCCAGAACAAAAGTCGAGGACAAGCGGGAGCCGTGAGCATGACAGAGTTCCCTTTGACTACCTACAGCCTCAAGCCCTTCTTACACTCAGCCCTCTTGCCTCTCCTCTACCCCTTGATGCTCAACTTTGGCGTGTTGTTGCTGGGGTGTCCAGGAGTTGGCAAGACTCCCTTTGTTGTGATCTTGGCAATGGCCCTGGGAAGGTATCATGTACGCCTGAGTGGTGATACAAACTTGAAACCTGGGTGGCGTAGGGCCAAGTCTTTGGACAACTTTCGTCACCGCGCTCCTCGCGTTCAAGAAGCCTTGTTCCTTGATGACCCTTGCCGCGCCAAAGTGAGCATGGCTGACTTGAAGAGTTTCCTGACTGTGGATGAGGATGGAACTGTTGAGTCCCGCTACAATGATACCCGCCTCATCAGGAATCAGTTGCGGGCCTATGCCTCCAATGATCTGAAAGATGACTTGGAGGAAGAGCAAAAGATTGGAACTACTCTCCCTCCAGGACGCTTTCTGGTCATGCTGGATGACTTGTTTGCCGGGGAGAAGGAAAAAGATGTTCTGGCTGTTCTGAAACGTTCCATCATCTTCGTCTTCACCGGTATGGCTCTATACTTGCGCTTGCCCAGTGAGAATAAGGAGGCCATCATCCACCGCATCTGTGTAGACGACTTGCACAAAGACTTGCTGGCTGACAAAGACAAGCCCTTCTATGGCAAGTACAAGGCAGGCTCCATGGAAACTGGCCCCTCTTTTGATACTGATGTAGGTCGAGAGCAAAGGATGCTGGAGCAGGCAATGAACACAATGGCAGAGTATGAGGAAGTCCAGGGTTACATTGAGTTCGTCAACGGCAAGATTCAAGATGCACTGTTCCGATCTCAGGACATCCGCATTCTTCCAGGCTCTCCATCGTCGGATGACGACGACCAGGTGCCTTTGGCTGCTCGTCCTGTGCCACCCATTGGAACTCATTGTTCTGGTCGTCGTGTTGGTCCATTTGTCTATCCTGGCCGCCGTGTGCGGAGGAAAGCAACACCTGTGTCTCAAGAGCTGGAAGAGTTGGCTCAGGCTGCCGAGGCACAGACTGCTGTCTTGGAGGATGGCACCAATGATGAGATGGACTTTGAAGCTGCTCTGCTAGACACCGCTGCAGATGAAGAGGCAGCTCATGCGCTAGGCACTCTTGATGCTTAGGAGTAGCTACTGTAGCTTCACCAATTTATTGTGCGTGTACTTCACGTGCAATAGCTTGCGTACATGCTGTCGTTCCGGATAGACAGCTATCGCATTGATCATATCTGGGGAAAAAAGTTTGTCCCACAGCTTCTTTTGTCAACGGAACTGAGTTTGTCTACCCTCATGCTTGCAAGCGCTTGCAAATCATTCCACTCCAAGTCCACCAGCACCATACCAAACCTAATTGCTCATTCAAATTCAGTGTCTGATTCAATTTTGTCACTCGTTATAGCTGTTTGGTTTCCGCCTAGCTCCGAAATTGCGCCTTGCCATGTCCAAGTTCAACAACTTTCCCGTGCCCAAGAAAGGTAAGCTACGTGCTGTATTGAAACGGCCTGCGAGCATGAAGACCAAGGCATGGAAGCAAGTGAAGTATGTGCGATCCCCTGATGCAGTTCCTGAAGTTCGCATGGACCGCTGCAAATGGAAGCGCTCCTTGGCACAAATTTTGCAAAGCTCTCCATCTACTTTGGTGAAGATGCTTCGTGAAGATGGACTTCTTCATAAATGGGAAGGGCATGTCTGTCCGCGATGCTGCCGTGGCACCCTTGGTGGCCTTCAACAACTTGGAGGTTTACTAAAGCATAGATGCAGTGCCAAGAAATGCCACACCTACATCAACCCGCATCATGCTCACCCCATTTTTGTGGATCATTGGGGCTCTTCTTCTACACCGCTTGCCACCCAGGCATGTTTACTGATGCTCCTGCTCAACCGTGTTCCCCACCCCACCATCCATCGCCTCCTGCATGTGAACCATAAGAGCATTGAGGATATGGAGAAGAGATTAGGCCAGCTACGTGAAAGGTGGGTCAGGAACAAGGAGAAGGACATCAAATTTGGGCAAGGTGGAAAATGGCAGGACGTGGAAGCCGATGAAGCCACGTTTGACAAGAAGGTCGTGAATGGACAGCTGCACTGGGAGCAGTGGTGCGGCATTGTCCAAAGAGGTAAACCTCAGACGCTTGTCCTCCATCGCTTGAAGCCAGTCATCTCCAAACTTCGCGCTCCAGGCCCCGGTGCTATTCGAAAAGTTGAATGGCAACCATTGGCTGTGAAATGGCTTCAACACCGTGACATTATTCTCCACACCGACTCGGCAAAAAGTTATGCCATCAAAGTCAAGGGTGTCCTCCATGACCGGGTCATCCACAAAAAGAAGCGGGTGAAAGTCAATGGAGAATGGAAATGGCTCACTCCAAAGTATGTGGAGTTGCACAAGCATGTCCTCCCCGGCAGCAAGAAGGCAATCACAGTCAAAAAGGGCACCCAGATCATTGACAGATGCTGGCGTTTCCTCAAAGACCGGTTGAACATCAACCAGAACTGCAAAGTTGGCAGCAGTCTTCTGCGCATCCGTTGCGCTCTGCTCAGTATGAGTACTGGCATAGGGGGCACGATCTGTGGTTGGCAACGGGTTCTCTTGTTCAGTGGTTCTTGTTGAAGGCCTAGAGAGCCCAGCCACCACAGCGGGGCAGAGTTCAAAAGAATCAGCGCGTCGCTGCTAGCACCTTCTGCTGTGTTCTAACCTTCTTGACTTTGCTGCCATCGCATATCTGTGGGCTTCCTATGTAAATTTCACGCCTATTTGCTTCAATCATCTGCTTCAATAATCTGATTCTCATGTCCTTCCTGATCCATCATCTGCTGGCAAATGTCTTCAACATATTCATGTCAATGCTCGCTCTGCACGCATGCAGGCCGCTCAAGGTGGGTATCAGGGGGGGGGGGTCCCCGATCCTGTCCAGTCGTCCCAGTCACTCCCCGCAGGACTCACTGGTTGCCGCCCAACCGTGACCCGTGATGATCAGGTGCAGCAGCGCCCGCTCGGCGGCTTGCAGCTGGGGCTGGAAGGACCTGGGCGGTGCAGCTTGGTTCACCCAGCAAAAATAATCAAAAAATGGAGGTTTGATATGGTTTAACGGTTTCACTAAGAAACATCTGGGGGTTTGAAGACTTAACAAGGTTCTTTAAATGATGAAACATGGTGAGATTTTGAATTGAAAATATGTTCGAAAGAGCAAAGGAAGGAACTGGGATGGAACTTTGGAACCGGCGTCATGATGATCAAAAGAGTCACCTGCGGGACGCCACTGTCCTGCCTTGTGATGACATGCCCCTGCGTATTCTTCTGCACCACACAAACCTGAGGCCAACATGTCGCACAACGCGCGGCCAAGGCTGTGGAACTGTGGAACCCGATGGTTCTTTCCAGTTTTGAAATGGATATACACTCTAGATGTAAGAGGACAATGGCACACAATCCTTGAGATTCTCATAGGTTGTCATAGATTCTCATGACATCAGGCTGTTCCAAAGAAAACATGTTTAGTCCAGCAACGAACC